CATACACCTTATTCTTTATTCAAAACCCTTATTTTAAATTTTATAAAAATTTATTTTTCTTGTAAAAACCTTTCAAACCCTCGATTTTAGTTTAGACACCCCTGAAGGTGTGTCTGAATCCCTCAAACCAAGGCTCTGATACCAACTTGTAACATCCCAAAATTTACGACTAAAAATTTTATTTTTAATTTAATAATTATAAAACCATTTGTCTGAAAACACCCATAGTATCAACTCATAACAAAACCAATGTATCAATAGTCAAAACATGTCATGATAAAACAACATCGGAGTATAACTCCCAAGAATATCATGTGCGGAAATCATGGTGTGATGTGCTGCAATCATGTCGGCTCCTTTACTTTTGAAGAAAAAGTACCTGAAACCAAAATTGAAAATCGTAAGCACGAAGCTTATTGAGTTCCCCCATCATACCACATACCATACAAATAACATACTGTCAGTCATATCTGGGTGCCCGGCCTACCCCTTCAGTCTCTTTCAACCGGTAACCGCCTACCATATCTGGGTGCTGGCCTACCCCTTCGGTCTCTTTCAACCGGATACGGGGGACTATTTCACCCCTACCACTACCATATAGCATCCTAGCCTATAAGCGCATAATTACATACAGCCTAGCATATCTGGGTGTTGGCCTACCCCTTCGGTCTCTTTCAACCGGATACGGGGGACTATTTCACCCCTACCACTACCATATAGCATCCTAGCCTATAAACGCATAATTACATACAGCCTAGCATATCTGGGTGCTGGCCTACCCCTTCGGTCTCTTTCAACCGGTTACGGGGACTATTTCACCCCATTTTCATACTCATAACCCCTTAAGGGTCAACTTTGGTCAAATTCAAAGTCACCATTTTGATCAAAGTCAATGCTCTGGGTTGACTCAACTCGCCGAGTTAGTCCATCAACTCGCCGAGTTCCATAAATCATAAAACCCTGAAATCACGATCCAACTCATCGAGTTCTTTCACGAACTCGTCGAGGTCCTCCTATCAACAGAATCGGGACTTCCCAAATCAGCTCGTCGAGTCCGTCCTTGAACTTGTCGAGTCCTTCCTTTTATAGAATTGGGACACTCCGTCCCAACTCGTCGAGTTCCTCTATGAACTCGTCGAGTTCTTCAGTCTGTTAAGCTTTCTTAATGTATTAAGCCATTATTCTTCGAATCTAAGTCCCATATTCCAGATCTGGGTAGAATACACATCTAGGAGGGTAAATTTAGGGTAAATTTTCCGACTTTACCCGTTAAGACCCATCCTAGAAGAAATGAGCCCTAACCCTAACTCAAAAAGGCTTAGATCCAACTCCAAAAGCCATCAAAACTTCAAGATAAGCCATGGGGTCATAGATCTGGACTTTAGGGACGATTTGGTCACGTAAAGTTCCCATCTTTACTTGCATGCATGGCCTACTTGGCTCAAAAGACCAAAAATGTGGTCTACAAGTTGCATGGGACTTCCATGGACATAAAGTTAGCACCTTTATGCCATGAAGTCCCCTCAAAACCCTAGATCTGAAGGGTTTGCCTACAAAAGGGCGTCTAAATCCCAAAAACCAGCATTCTTGGACCAAAACATGGAGAGAACATCCTAAAACTAGATCTAAGCATACTATAGACAAGGTAGGAGCTTTATACCTCATATGAACCAGAAATGAAGCTCAACTTCTGGATCTACTCTTCTCCTACACGTCCTTGCTCCTTCTTCAAAATCACAAAGAATGCACAAAAATGGCTCAAAACTCTCAAAAGTGAATTAGGGTTTTGTGGCTAGGGTTTGAGACAATGGAGGCTGTAAATGAGGCCAGCTTATGGGGGTTAAGGTGTTTAAATATGGTGCAAAACCCTGGAAATTAGGGTTTCATTCTGCCAGTCCTACTCGTCGAGTTGAGGCTTCTCAACTCGTCGAGTAGACTTCTTATCCCGCGTCCCAATCCATCTCTACTCGACGAGTTTGGGGCCTCCAACTCGTCGAGTTTCTATATAAAAATGAATAAATTATGAATTAAATACATACCAGAAACCGAGCGTTACACATTTAAATTATGAAAATGCATCAGTAACATGTTGTTATAAAATGCGGTGTCATGTATGATTCTGGTGAGTAAAGGATACAGTTATATAGTCAAAGTTTATTTGTTCCATTTTCCCTAACGATAAAAGTGATATCTTTAGGATCATCGGTGATTTGGTGTTGACATTATAGTGTTGGGCCTAGCCATGACTGAATTGATGTATTCAATTGGTAGTCTGGTGACATCATCACAAATTGGGAAATTAGGAATCAGAATCTTGGACAATGAGATTGATTATAATCCATGTCTCGTGTCCATACGATATCTTGAAGAACGTATGAATGGTTGATCACTTATCTTAGGGCCAATGTCTGATTGGATCAGAGTTCGGCAGTTGCTTCGGAAATCACACTTTGTTGTTTAATTTAGAAGTTATACTTGAAAATGTAGTTATAGACTTATCCAAGTAGGAGACTGTTGGATTAAGGTGTCTAAGATCATAACTAAATTAGTATATACTTGAACTGAAAGCAAAGTCCTTTTTTAGTTGCCCTCAGAACTAGTAATTGAGTAGAATGACATTTGGAAAGAGAGGTTGATTTATTGATTTATTATATGATTAATAAATTGCAATAAATGACTTGTTAATATATTAAAAGTGCAAGGACTTAAGTTGTAATAGTTTAATAGTTGAACAAGAGAGAATTCCATAACCTTCCAGGCCTTGGACGGTTTTGGAGGTTATATTTAGGGTTTTTGGAATATTCCTTATAAATAAATAAATAATGGATTGGATAATTGCCTAATTTGAAATATTAATATTATATTCAAATTAGAGTTTTCATGGTTCCTTGTACCAACTATAAATTGAGACCTTAGGCTCCTTGTTTTTGTCCACGTCCATACCTAAAGGAGGAGCTGAATTTTTGCTTCATCTCCTCTCTCTTCTCTTGTCTTCTTGTTACTAGGATTTGGGTACAAAGCATTAGAGGCACTAAGCTTTTGGTGCTTGCTTTCCAAGGTGTTCAAGAAAGGACTTTTGGTGTGATTATTTTCTATAATAATTAAAAGGTATGTAAACCCTAACTTTCTTGTATTTTCGAAAATACCTAGGTTTTATTAGGGTTCTTGATGTTCATAGTTTATTGCTATCAATTAGAGAGAACATACATCATTTATAGGTTGCATGTGAACTTAAGGGTTAAGGTTTTCGCTTCATATGTAATTTTATAACCTATAAAACCCATCAATTTTAGTTACAAATTCTCTTTTTTCGACACTGTTCTTTTTTATATATTTGCTTGTGATTGTTTGTGTTCGTATATAGGCCAAGGAAACTGAAGCTACAAGTAACGGTAGCAGAACTTATGTGCCCATAGCAAGGCTGTTGATTATGTATTGAAGAATCAAGCTTCAACACCAAAGCAAATTGTTGCAAGACGTTAGTGATAGGATGTATGTTAAGAACAAACCACATAAGCATTACCAGCACCACAACAGTTCCTTCTTCCATCTTTCCCTTAAAACAATGACCACAACTACCACCCATCCTTCATCTTATCTCTTTGTTCCTCTCTGTTACCCCCTAAACCCCACCATCGTTGCATGTTATTCGAGTTCATGAAATAAGCTATATAAAGGAGAGGAAAGTGGATTTTTTATTAGATACCGTAAGAATGTTGTTGATACCAAGTTTGATCTATTACTTTGACATTTTAAAGTCGTGACAATTTCCATTTTTGATATTTATTACAGGTCCTTCATTGGAGATTTTAGAGCTAACATTAAGATTTCCCCTCACGATGGCAACTATATTGGATTAAATGATAGGCTGGTAACAGTGATTGGCACCATACAACAACTGTTGTTGTTGTAATTTATTAATCTGATTTTATTAAAATTATATGAAGATCTCTACTACATACAGTCTATTGGCCTTCTATTTCTATATGTTGGTATGGTTTTTTTTTTGTTCCTGGTTTACCATACATAGCATGCAATTCAATTATGTTGTTCTTTGAACTCAAATTTAGGAAATATTGTAGGAAATATCAACAAAATTTGCTTCTTTTACCTATATGTTAAGTATATTTTAATTTTTACCGGTAATAGCAATATACTTACAAATTTTTGTTGGTTGTGGCCATATTTAATCTGTTTAGAATGATGTGGCATTATATACACTGCCAAATAAGCATTGAAGTAATACCAAATAAAAAAATATTGTAGGGATTTGAATTCTAGAGTCTATACATCCCAATATAAAGTAAATGTTTTACAATTACATAATAGGGATCCCTACAAAATATTCCTTTTTTACCTTTTTATATTAATCTTATTCTCCTGAATCTTCAAACTTCATAAATTTGTTTACTTATATTTTTTGTATTTTTTCTTTTAAAAAAATGAAAAGCAATTGAAAAAAGTATACATAACATAATTATCAATAATGAAATTAACATGATAACAGTATAACGAAAATTGACCAAATAAATAGAATATAACCCAAATTAACCAAATAAGTAGATTATATAACCAAAGGAAGTTTGAAAAACAAATAGTATTTGCTTGTTGACAAAAAAAAATATTAAATCTTAAGTAGTAAAAAAAATGATTTAAGAGATTCAGGTCAATATAAAAATACAAACTAAAGCATTCACGTTGCATGTTGGAAGTATGGGGTTCTTCTAATACTTACATTTTTGTTAATTCTTATCGGTTATTTGGTGTTTGTGGAACACTTATTTGGCATTTATATTGCTACATCATCATTCATTAATACGATGGCACATGATTAAAATAACCAAATGATAATCGCTTACATTATTAAAACCAAATTGCTAATTTCTTTTTGATATTGTTTGCATCAAGCTAATTCCAAGATGATTTGTTATTTTCAATTATTTAAAAAAAAAAACGGTTTGTTCTTTCTGTAAAATAAAATCTTTCAATCATATGGTCGTTTTTATGAATACCCCATTTATTTATGAATAAGAGATACAGAGCATCAAATCTAAAAGTCTTTTTCTAAAACCCAAGAAGCTATTCTAGAGCAGCTGAAGTTTTTAGCATCAGTGCAATCGACATGAACAACCAAATTATTTAGAAATTCCTAATACAAATATAAATAAAAACCTTAGGGAAACACATGACAAATTTATACAAAACCATAAACCTAAAAATCTACTTGTTCATGGTTGAAACTCTCAGATTTGCATAAACACCCTGAAAACATAGAAACAAAAAGTTGACATTTTGACTTTCAAACAAAAAGATAAAAACATCAAGAACAAGAACAATACCTGATGTATCATGTATGCTTACACTTTAGCATAAAACGCCACCATTTTAGGGTCCAATTGGCCACTACAATAGCTTGAAGAGATAATCGAAAGCTCTTGATACCCTTTCCATTCTTCCAATGGTTTTAAAATGATTGGTTTCTCAAGAACACCCGAATCCACTGACAACATGTTTTGGTAATCCTTATCTCCAAAACCAATTTCTGATGCCTTTGTTGCATTGTCCCATGGGGTCCACAAACCTACGGTTTTTCATAAATCTATACAAGTTAAAGAACACAAAAATCTACATTTTAACATGAATCTTGAAGTTAAAAGAAGACAAAAAAAAATATGCATTTTGGACATAATTCTTGGGGAAATTGTCAGAAAAGTCCCAATATTTTCAAGAAAGTTCACTTTAGTCCCAAGATTTTTTTTTGAACATAAAAGTCCCGATTATTTCATTTTGGCTCAAGTTTACAAAAAAGTCCTTTTTTTCTTTTAACAGGAAATGACATATTATCGTGTTTTTACAAATAATTGGGACTTTTATGTTCAAAAAAAAAATCTTGGGACTAAAGTGTAACTTTCCTGAAAATATTGGGACTTTTCTGACAATTTCCCAAATTCTTGAAGATAGATTCTACATTCACAATAGAAGAGGACATAACAGGTTGTACTGTGTTTTTTGTTTGGTGGGCATTAGGAACTGGGACTAGGACTGAAACTGATGTCAGTGAGACAAAATTGTAACTTTTTTTTCCACCCAAAAAGACATGAATGCCCTCCTCATAATCTAGACTTTCAGCGTGCATCAAGACATCAAAGATACAAAAGTATTCGATTTGACACATGAGTCTTTTAAATATGCACTTTTAGCTAATTGAATATGAATGTTAGCTATGATATAGAATATAAATATGCACTTTGACATCACTCTTGAATACAAACAACTAAAGAAGATAATGAAAAAAATATTAATATTTAAAAATTTTAAAGAATACCAGCATCTGGGAGGCCTTCATTACGTATCACAATTGTCCTCTTCTTGTTATGATCTATGATTGCTATATTACCTGGTGTTTTTATATAAACCCTATCCACCTATCAAAGAACACATATCATATTCATCAAAAAATAAATAATCGTTACAATTATATAAAAATATGTATGTATTTAGAATGTGTGATTATATATCAGGAGTGACCTCTCCATCAAAAGTGATAGCATCAGGTTGCTCTGTGAATCTTTTTCCCTGTTGCAGATTATCATGAAAATCAAGTGTTTCTAATCCTTCAACTCTCACTTCACTGAAAATGAAACCCCATGTCAGACTTTCAATGAAAACAATTAAAGATTAAATGCATGAAATAGCAACATATTTTCATTGATTTGTTTATTATAGCATCTTACTTTAGATTTTTCCTATTACAACATTGCACTTTAATTACAAAGCAATTTCATTGGTATAAATAACAGGGTAAATTTTTCGAAGTATAGTGTCTTAATAAAGAAACTATTGAACGTACAATGCTATGTTGGGTAAAATTTTCAATGTACAATGGTGTAATAGAAAGAAATGGAAGTAGATTTCTATGATACACAACTAGATAAAAATAAGTTGCTATTTCTTGCATTTAGCCCAACTGTTAAGGGTTGAAACTTTGAAATTAATAAAAAAGAAAAAGAAAAAGAAAAACCTCATATCAGATACTGATAAGTAATTTTGAAGAGCAAATGTGAACGAAAGGGATGCGTTGTCGGTATTCTTAATGTAAGAAATTATCGTCATTTTGTCTGGACCCAAAGAAACTCGAAGGCGCAACTCAAAGCTGTATAAATATTAGTTGGTAAGAATGTGTGTCCTTTACACAATAGACAGAACAGGTTGTACTGTGATTGACATGCACCAGACTAGGACAGTGATTGATGTCAATGTGACAAAAATTGCAACTTTTTGCCCCATCCAGAAGGTGGGACAAAGATTCGCTCTCGATCTCTTTGTATGTGCAAAAGACGTCAATACCCTCCTCATCCTGATCATCAAAAATCACTCTAGAAAGCTTTTCTAGTCTGTTCCAGCCCACAGCCAAAGGCTGCGTTTTGTTACACAGGACATGACTAAAGTGTCCTGGACAATTTTTCTAGAGTTATTTTTGATGATCAGGATGAGGAGGGTATTTACGTCTTTTGCACATACAAAGAGATCGAGAGTGAATCCCTGTCCCACTTTCTGGGTGGGACAAAAAGTTGCACTTTTGTCATATTGACATCAATCGCTGTCTCCGTCTAGTGCATGTCAAACACAGTACAAGTACAACCTGTTCCGTCTAGTTAGCAATAAATAAAACCAAATTTTCGAGAGACGTTTAAAAAACATGGGTAATTATTACCTACGTGGCCATGTATTGGAATCATTTGCTGTAGTTTTTAAGGTTAGATCTACTGAAGATGGGTTTCCTGTAGGAGTCAAACGCAAGGGGATGTTATCGAATGACTTTGCGTTTTTCTTTGACCAACAAATCTCCTTCATCATCCCTGTATTGGCTACCTGAAAGGATAAAAGAAATATAATAATCACAAAACCCAAGAGTTTATAAAACAAACAATTTTGTAAAAAAAATATTTGAGATTGTTCTGTATGGCTTACCTGTGGAAAACAAAGCGAAATACCTCCTTTAGGAAATCTTCCACCAGTCTATGAAGAAGAAACAAGTAAGAAATTAGAGATTGATGTAATTTTAGTTGTTGATTATCTGATTCTCATTAAAACTGCTTACATTTTTGCTCATAAAAAGCAATTCTTCACCTTGACTGTTCTTCCATGAGACAACTTTCCCACCATAGAGAAGGACCTGCAATTAAATAATTAAGCATCGATTAACAAAATTATAATCTCTTTTACATTACAAGATGTGTGTGTGTGTGTTAAAGATAAAGAGGAAGGATGATACCTCAGCAGAAGAACCACCAGGTTCAAAAAGCAAAACTCTGGGCAAACTCTTGTAATCATTAAACACATAACCATTCGTCATTTGATTTAATGTAGCAAACCACCTCCACAATCTTATTCTCTTCACTAATGGATGCTCTTTTGTCCACTCCAGCTACATACAGACACAATCAAGAACATCAAAAACTCTCCACATTCATTTTTTGTATACAAAGTTACTACTTATAGTTCTAAATTTCAAAATTGACATGGAATATGTTGCGAATTTCGCTATATCCAAGAGACCGGTGAATAGAAACTTGCATAGAAATTAGAAAAGACGACACCTTTCCTTTTGATTTTCTTGATATTGATGGATTTTGATGGAGACCCAATTTGAAGTGGGGCTTTTGTAGTGATACCCATTTTGGGGTTTCATAAGAAAGATTGGATGAATGAAAGAAAGGGTAAGAGTTAACAGAACAAAGAAGGAAAGGTGATCCATGGTGGTTTCTTTTCAATGCGAATCTGTCTCCGTTTTCGTGGCTTTTTGGGATAACGATAGGAATATTTCATCCAATTGGTTTATTTGGTCGGTAGGAAACCTCTAATCAGTCTAAAGTTGCCGTCAAGTCATTTGTCGCCCTCCAATTAGGTCTTGAGAAAACGATACGAATTTGGTGAAATCACGAAATGTTCCTTCGAAAGAAAGAACCAAAATTGCCTTCTAATTTTGGTCCTCGTGTATTATTCTCAATCCTAAGAACGAAACAATCATGCTCGTGAGCTCATACGAGTGTAGAGTGAAGATAAGGCTGCTGGGTAAGACAGCAGGTCTTCTTTCACACGATCGTCGCATCATTTTCCTTGAGTGGGCAACGGCTTCGGCCGTTTTTATGACGTGGAAGGGAGGAACGCCGTTACCACAGTGGAACACCGCCCCGCTGTGCGTTACCTTGTTCACAATAATGAGTGGCAACGAGATAAAATTGAAATGTTGGGTGTATTTGTTTGAAAGCAGTAACTTTCAATAAAAAAAATTTACATATATATATATATATATATATATATAT